ACACACACACACACACACACACACACACACACACACACACACACACGTGTGTGTAGTGTTGAGGGCAAATGAGCAGACACGCGTGTTGAAGAATCACCGCGTAAATCCAGCTCTGGAGTTGCTGACAACAATAAGTCTGTGGTTAATTATTGCATGAGGAGAGAACATTGATAAGGTTTACACGAGTGCTATCAAAGATATCAAAGATATCAAAGATATCAAAGATAGGCCACAATTATAATCGGACATCCTTAAATGTTCCTGTTTTGCTTTTTCAAACAGAGAGTGACAAAAGTCTAATACCTCTGATATGCAGAAAAATGCTGAATTTAATAGAGAACGTACAGATATACATTCTGGTCTCATTGAAACAAAAGTCCTTCATGTCAGATTTCCCATCACAGTCCATAAATATTTCCTGATTGTCCCACACTCATGATTGATAAGCCCCTTTGGAAGGTGTCTCTGGCAGGTTTTTCTGTGATGTATTAAACATTATCAAGGGGGCTGGCCTTTTCCGTTTAAACGCGCTGACTTTACATAATAACACACCGACTGTTCTGAGCCGCTGATAACCAGCACTCAGGTGCCACGGGTCACATTAGTCTGAGCGCTTTCACCTGGACCCAGAGCTGGAAAAGACTCACAGGGAGAGACTCACTCACTGTTTACAGACGAGTTCCGGAAAGAATCGGCACGAGTAGCAGAAACCCACGGCTGCTTATCAGAGGGAGAGTCGGTGGCAACATTTCAGCTCGTTTGTTTCCAGTGAAATCAACAGAAAAACGTCATGAAGCTAAAGTTACCAAACCCGGGGCTGGAGGACAGGATCCCGTCCCACGCAGACCTGGAGAGGATGGAGAAGGAGGAGGCCGGGGACAGACCCAAGTGGGACAACAAGGCCCAGTACCTGCTCACCTGCGTGGGCTTCTGCGTGGGCCTGGGGAACGTGTGGAGGTTCCCCTACCTGTGTCAGAGTCACGGGGGAGGTAAGGCTGAGTGCGTCCGTTTGACTAATGTTAGGTTTTATTCACATGATTTACGCTTTTTGAGGTAACTGATGTGTCAAAATGTTCGTAAAAATTGATTAAATTTAACCCTGTAATGCCAAATGTATCTGATTCATACGGTTTCTGAAATGTTTTGACACCTTTTGATTAATTTAATGGTGAAAACTTTGCTCAAAATCCTATTGTACACAATCAGATACACCTGATAACAGGGGGCAGAAGATACACAAAAAATAATCTGGACTTATCGCATAGTAATAAATAATATTAAAAATGTATTTCTTTTTTTTCTTTTTACATATTTTATTAAAAGGCCAAATAAGAATTCA